TACTCAGCCTCGAGGTTGATGCCATCTCATCGCCTGTCACTGAAATGATCTGTCCGAAAGACAGCTTTGCAAGAGAATCGCAAAACGTCAGCCCATCTTTAGCCACACTTTTGTGCCGCATCACTTATTTATCACATAAACGAGGGACCTGCTTATCTTGTGATCTTTGATGGTGTGAATCTTACCGTTGCACCATAGTTGTGCAATAGGGGTAAGTCATTTCAGCTGGCCTGCAACACAAAGCTTGCTTGACCTAATCTATGATTAATGAGGCCATATCATCCCACATGATATCATATCATGCTTCACGTATAAATGGGCACGATTCTCTCACCTTCCCAGTTTGTTTGCCGCGATGGTATGCGCACGGAATAGTGAGTTACCAGTTATTGGGCATTAGTCAACCTCGCACTTAACTGCTGCTCTGTGCAAGCAAGGCAGTAATTTTGCACAATTTTTGTGTTACCAGGTCTCTTCGTGAAGGTCTTTGGCTTGCTCACTCTCATTTCTACTGCGTCGTGTCAATTCCCCAATGAGGTTGAAAAAGCACAACTTCTTGAGACTCATCATGATGCTCGAGAAAATGTGTACCCTCCTGCCAGCAACATGATGTTATTAGTACGTTCCTTCTTGATACGTACATATTTGACAACACACTTGGCAGCACCTCAAATTGTCTTACGTAGAACTGTCCTTCGAGCATTTCATTGTGCCTGTTTTTATTTATTCAGCTGTACTCCTCACACCTGGAACAGCTGGCAGATTATTGGGCCAGTCGATGTAGATTTGAACATCCGGATTGGTCGCAGTATCCACATTACCATGGACTTGGACAAAATATTGCAGCCGTCGGTGGTTTTAAGCCAGCTTTCACTGAAGCGGTCTGTGGCTGGAGGGACGAAGAAAAATACTACAGTTATTTCAACAACTCTTGCACCCACATTTGCGGCCACTATACACAGGTAGGGGAATCAGTGTTTTGTGCCCATCATGGCATGCATTGCATGAATACTATTTAGTGTGCTTCACTAAGTCATTTTCTCAAGCATTGAATGCCTACTTGAAAGACCATGTAGGTTAATGAGGTGCAAACAAATGGGTGGGAGTACACGGTATGGTACTGTATGATTCAACACGATACAATACAACTTGCCATGCCTTTCACTGTACTTGAACAGATGGTTTGGGCAAACACAAAGTGGATAGGCTGTGCCATGCGACGATGCGATGGCATGCGGGCTGATTGGAACAACCCACAATATTTCACTGTGTGCCAATACAAAACTGCGTAAGTGTAATATTTTAGAATGATTAGCTGATTGGCTGGCTGGAAGAATGATTGATTGCCAAAGTGTTAAATAAGCACATCATTAGTGTGTGTAAGAGTGACAGAATCATTTGATTTTCTGTAGAGGGAACTACCACGGGGAATGGCCGTATAAATATGGACCCAGTTGTAGCCAATGCCCAAAAAGACACTCATGTTACCGCAAACAGTGTGTCGCATACCCAACTTGCAAAAGTGTATTCCCTTTAATGGAACTGGCGGATCGCAAGGACAAGGTTATCCCAAAATGCGTTATTGCTTGGAAATAATCGACTACCATTTACACTGAATACATCCACCCTGGCGTCCTGCGCGTCCAACTCTACTTCCTCATTCATCCTTTGCACCCACTCTTACACCTTAAGCACCGTGATACCTTCTTGTGTTGTCAACAACTCGAATAAAAATGCTCGGTTTACCACTTTTGTCGACT